AGGAGATCCACGACATACCCATGAATGTCATCATTAGACCCATTCCTCCCATTCTGGATGAGCTCAAAGTGAAGAGTCTTATGAATACCATTGAAGTAATCATACAATTGAATCAATCCTAACGATTGTGTCTATGATTTGATGTTTTTGTCTTTGCAGACATTACCAGAAACTGTTCCGCCGATAGACGTGCTGTGGATTGTGGGCACAAATGGTGGTAATTATTACTACTCCTTCGGCGGTTGTCATCGATATGAAGCCCATAAATGTTTGGGTCGACCGACCATTCGTTGCAAACTCGTTGAGTCCAATGTCAATGACTTGAAGTGTTATTTGGGTTCTTCGACACCCGATCTCAAGTGATGGACACATCTCTGTCTTATAGTCCACTTTAAAAAATTGTTACATGAGTTGAGTCTTAATTTTATGTGTATTTCAAGTCATTGTTTAAGTATTTAATAATTAATTTTTATACAGCAATTGACACATTCATGTGCTATAAATATAAATTTACAATTTATTTCATATAAATCTCGTTCACAATTGAAATCTATGTCTTAATTAATTATACGGCAAAATATTTAATAAATAAATTTATAAAAATAAATTAGTTTTCGTTAAAAAAAAAGTCTGGATTTGAGTTAAAATGATTAGAAGTATTAAAAGTTGGTTATGGGATGAGAGCTACCATTCCCTTCAATAGCCATATGTTTTACTGTTCAGTCTTCAGTGGTTTCACTAGATTTCTGCTATTAATTGAAAATAATTCAATTTATAAAACAATTGATTATCAAAATTAATAAATACTTCACTAACTGTTGAAATTTCCACATCAGATAAGTTACTGGTTTTGTTGTTCTGTTGGCCGTCTATAGTCTTCCGCATCGGAACCGGAGGTTTACTCACATCCCTCTCAACACTACTCCCTCTCATAGGCTTTGTATTGTTTTCATCGAAAGGAGTGGTATTTTGTTGAGAGGATTGGTTTTTGTCGATTTCGTCAACCGGTCGTCGAAACGGACTATTCGTGTGGCTATTAGTCTGCGAATCAATGACAGCGAGTGTCGCGCTTTTGATAGAATTGGACACAATGTCAACGATTTC